TTTCAGGCTGGCCACACCCTCTTTAGGGTGGGGGGTCCCCACTGGGTTGCCTGGCCAGTCTGGGTGAGGGGCTGAGGGCCATTTTCAGGCTGGCCAAGCCCCCTGGTGACGGAAGCTCCCAGCCTCTCCTTTTTTTCTTTTTCTTTTTTTATTCTGGGGTTTACTTACCTTCTATAATTGAAACTTTATTGCCTTCAGTGGAGCTCAGAGCCGGCTGCAGAAGGCGGGAAGCTTGGCTTCCTCCATCACTGGAGCAACCAAGCCTCCTGCTCGCTCCAGCTCCGTGGCTGCCGGCCGCCATCTTGGTTGGGTTAATTTGCATATAGTCGCTCTGATTGGCTGGTTGGCGTGGCTTAAGGTGTAGCGAAGGTATGGTCAATTTGCATGCTTGTCTTTTATTAGATTAGATTTCAGGTGATGTTGGATGCCCAAATACTGCTCCTCTTTATTTATTTATTTATTTTTTTAAATCTTTTTCTTCTACTTTTCATCTCTCTCTTTGCTCTTCTTTTAGGGAAATTTCTTTAACTTTATCCTCCATCACACACACACACACACACACACACACACACACACATTTTATTCTGAGGATATGTTTTTATTGATTTTTATAGAGAGAGGGAGAGAGAGAGAAACATTGGTTGCCTCCCATACTTGCCCTGACCAGGGATCGAACCCTCAACCTTGGTATGTGCCCTGACAGGGAATCAAGCCTACAACCTTTTTTGGTGTACAGGACAATGCTCAAATCAGCTGAGCTACCTGGCCATGGCTACCCTCTAACATTTTTATTACATTTTTTCTGCATTTCTACTGTTATGTTTAATTCCCGAGTGTTCTTTGTTGTTATTGTTTTTGTAAATCCTCACCTGAGGATATTTTTTCCATTGCTTTTTAGAGACAGTGGAAGGAAGGGAGGGAGGGTGAAATAGAGGAACATCCATGTGAAAGAGACATATTGATTGGTTGCCTCCAACATTCCCCAACTGGGGCTGGGGACGAACCTGCAACCCAGGTACTTGCCCTTGACAGGGAATTGAACCCTCAACCCTTGGGTCCATGGACTGATGCTCTAACCACTTAGCAACATAGGCCAGGGCCCAAGGGCTGTTTTGTTGTCCCCCTTTTTTAATAGCTTCTTTTTCTAATTTACTGGCTCCGATAAGCACTCACCAATCTACTAATATTAATGCAAATCTGGGGAAAGCTGTCTTCTCTCTGCAGTCTTAGATTTCTACTAGAGGCCCGGTGCACAAAATTTGTGAACTCAGGAGTGGGGGGGGTCCCTCAGCCCTTGCGAGAGGAGGGTGCAGGCCAGGCCGAGGGACCCCACCGGTGCATGCTCAGGGCCGGGGAGGGACACGGGAGGTTGGCCAGCTGGGGAGGGACCATGGGAGGGCTCCAGGGCATGTCCAGCCTGTCTCACTCAGTCCTGATTGGCAGCAAGCTAACCTACCAGTTGGAGCCTCTGCCCCCTGGTGGTCAGTGCATGTCATAGCAAGGGGTTGAGCGACCTTAGCATATCATTAGCATATTATGCTTTGATTGTTGTGGACACTTAGCATATTAGGCTTTTATTATATCAGATAAGCTGATTTTTCCCTTTTGCTCGTTTTGACCTCCCTCTTTTGTAATAAAGATTTTCTCAGGGATCAGCCTTGGGTGTCCACCCGCTTGAGAGCAGCGAGGTTGAGAAGCCGACTGGAAGCTGGGAGTGCTGGTGGGCTTTCTGTCTGTCTTGTAGCTGCTCTGCTGGGTTAGTGCCTGGAGCCCAGGATGTCAGTGCCTCCGGGTCTTTCCTCCTGAGCAGCTCGTTCCCTGCTGCGTACTCAGCCTCCTCCTGAGGGAAACGGCACTGGCAGGTGCCTGCAGCCGAGGAGAAAGTGGCTGGGAGGGTCTCTGCACTCAAAATGGATATGGTTACTCAGTCCACTTCGATCCCTCCATCCCTCCCAGCAGCCTTGTGTGACCGTGCAGGGTGGTCCCAGGACAGAGATCAGCCCCAGAGAGTAAAGGCCTCCGTAGCCACCGCCACCATCCCGTGCACACTGCCATCACCTCTGACCTGGAATCCTGACACAACCACTTACCTCTTGTCCCCTCCTGTCCCTTCTGTCCCCACGAAGGAGTGAGGTAGCTCTTTCATGTCCCTCTTTACCTCTGAAGCCTCTCCTAAGTAGCCCCCCCCCCCCCCGCACCTCTGTGGGGCCACACCCCTCTGTCACAGTCCTGGTGCCTCACCTGGCCTCTCTGTGAAGACACAGCCCCAAATCCCCTCCTCCTGAGTCCTCCAGGCCAGAGCACCTGCCACACCACCTGAGGTGGCCGGCTCTTCCTGGGGCCTGAAGTGAGGTCTGCACCTCCATGTGGGCACTGGTGCTCTGCGCGTGAGCCTGGCCCCTGTGCCTAGTGCCGAGCTGAACAGACCCAGGAGGTCATTGCTACTTGCCCCCCTGGAGTTCTGCTCTGGGAGCTGACTGCAGGGGAAGGGCCTGCTGAGCCAGTCAAGGCTGCCACCAGGCCAGCGAGCTCCGGCTCCATCAGCAGAAAACACTGCTGCTCTTGGACCTGCAAGGCACACGGGAGGCTGCCTCCTGGGATTCAGGGTGCGGAGACGCCCCATACTACCCTGTAGGGCCTCAGTGTGGGCGGCCTTTCCCAGAGAAGGGACTGCTTGGCAGGCTGCCTTCCCTATAACTACTTGAAAGCCTATTTCCATAATGGCCATAATGGGGCCTGACTAGGGAGCCAGGGCCTTCCTGCGGCCAGGTCCCTGGCGAGGGAAGCTGTGAGTGGTGATGGGAGGCTCAGTCTGCAGCGTCCGCTGAGCACGTGCCAGGCACCGATCCTCATCTGCCCTTGGAGGAGGGGTTACAATCTCCATCGGGGAAATGGAAATGGCAGCTCTCTAAGTGCTTGTTCAAGGCCACACCAGGCAGCGTGAGTTCAAACTCAGGACTCCTCAGGCCCCTGGGCCCTGCTGCGCCCTGGCACCAGGAGAAAGTGAGTTCTCCCTGCCTCCGTGGGTCATTTTGCTGCATGACTTTTGAGGGTCCTCAGCCTCTCTGTACTGGCCCTGGGAAGGCTCCCTAAGGTGGCGGGCCAGGTGCCCGGGGGGGGGGGGCGGGGGGGGGGGTGGTTTCGGGGCTCTCCCTAGGGGGCCGAGGGCTGAGCAGTGCGGAGCACTCCAGCTCGGTTAATGGACCCCACAGTCATGGCAATGGGGGGGCACTCAGCACTGGCGCTTCCTGTTGACCTTAAAAAGGGTGGTGGGTGCCCGGGCATGGCAGTAGCCCTCTCCTCTTGCTTGATTTTTCCAGTAACTGGTGCCCCTACCAGAAGTCCAGGCTGGTCACCTTCATAGCTGCTTGCAAAACGGAGAAATTCCTCATTCACTCACAGCAGCCATGCCTGCAGGGAGCTTCGGACTGCCAGAGAGTCAAAGTCATGTGAGTGGGGCTGGGGGAGGCCACTGGCCCAGTTCCCGCCGCTGCTCACCTGGAGTTGCTGAGCTGGCTGTCTCCCTCTAGGTACCGCATAGCCCACAAGCCGGTGTACCAGGTCAAACAGAAGGTGCTGGCCTCCGTGGTCTGGAGGTGCTGCCCGGGCTTTGCTGGCTCTGACTGCCAGCACCATGGTAGGGCTCCGTGTGTCCCCTCCCACCTCAACCTCTGACCCCGGAGGTCATGCAGCTCCTCTGACCACTTGGGGTCAATATCTGATGCCTCCTCCCTGCAGATCCCACTGCGACCCCTGAGCCCGCAGATCCGGGTGACAGCCTCCAGGAGCACTGGGCCGGGCCGGCTGACGTGGAACCTGGTATGTTGCTTCCCTGGCAGCTGCAGGAGGGGCAGGCAGACAGGAAGAGCTGTGTGCCAGGCTCTTTCTCCTCTGACAAGGCAGTGCCATCTCAGGAAAACTCGGCCCCCAGAACCAGCAGGGCCCCTCTGAGGCTCTGCACCGCCCTACTCCGTACTGAGGAGGACAGGTTGCCTGCCTGCTGGCTATGCACATCACCCCTGTCCTTGACACCCTTTCTAGGAAGGACAGCTTCGCCTGGCACCTCCCTTGCCCCTGCACTGCACAGGTCCCCATGGCCTGGAAGAAACCTCCCCACACCCCGCCCCTCAGTCAGGGACAAGAAGTCATGCTGTCCCTGTTCTCGAGTCAGCATAGGAGAACCATCAAGAGACCCCATGGTTGGGCCTTTCAAGGCTGGACCAAGGTTGGGGTGGCGAATGCGTTTCATCATGTGGCGAACGCCTATCTATTGACAAGGGCTTCTAGCATAGTGTCGAGAGGCCATGCCCACGTGGCCGAGGAGGAAAATGTACCAAGATTGATTAGTCATGTCTGCTGTGGGTGTGGATGGCAGGGTGAAGGCTCACTTACCATGTGTTTGCTCTTCTGGGACTAAAGGCTTCTAAGCGGCTGCTCAGAGGCCATCAGCATACTCCTCTCTGTTCTCAACCCCGAAGTCTCGGTGCCCTATGGTCCGCCCGGGCAGTTAGCCCTCAGTACGTCTTTCTCACGTGTCCTCCAACCACCAGCTGCAGAGACCAGCGACATCAGGGTGCGGCAGGAACGCCTGCTGAGAGGTCTCCAGAATGACATCCACCACCCGGCCGACAGCCTCCCGGGCCCGGGGACGGCCCCGGCAAGCAACCTCACAGCTGCAGTGACTGAGGCACATGAGGAGGCGCTTGGTAAGAGGCAGGCTCCAGGCTGAGGAGAACCTGATTACATCCTAGGGGATGAGTGGGCGGGGAGCAGAGGACCTCCCTCCAGCCCCTGCCTGGGGAGGGGTCTGCTCAACAGGTTGGTGTGAACATGTGCGTCTGTTGCAGAGTTTCCCGGCAAGTCCTTGGAGCAGGTGCTGCCTTTCAGCCCCGTTTGGAGCGGCTTTAACCAGAGCCTGCACAGCCTCTTGGAGGCCGTCAGAAACCTCTCTCTTGATGTGGAGGCCAACCGACAGGCCATCGGCATGGTCCAGGACAGCGCCGTGCCCAGGGCTGACTTCCAGGAGCTTGGAGCCAAGTTCGAGACCAAGGTCCAGGAGAACAGCCAGAGAGTGGGCCAGCTGCAGCAGGACGTGGAGGACCGCCTGCACGCCCAGCATCTCTCCCTGCAGCATTCGCTTTCCGAGGTCCAGGCGGACGTGGACACCAAGTTGAAGAGGCTCCTTAAGGCCCAGGAGCACCTGTCCAATAGCAGCCTGGCGGCAGCCGCGGCAGGAGCAGGAGCCCGGCCCGAGCCGGAGAGCC